CTATCTATCTATCTATCTATCTATCTATCTATCTATCTATCTATCTACTACACTATCCATCCATTCAGACATTTATCATCTTACCTTTCATCCAGCTTATCCATATCTTATCTATATCAGTCTCTCTCTATATATCTCTCTCTCTTCATCTCTTTCTGTCATCCATCTATCATCTCTCTCTCTCTCTTTCTCTCTCTGTATATATGTGTGTGTGTGTGTGTGTGTGTGTGTATCTTTGGTTATTCGGGTTTTCTCCCACATAGAATTGGAAGTATCAGACATGATATTATTCCTATTAAAATCGGAATTCCGATTTTTTGGGGAATTGCCTGGGTGGGCGGCGCGAGCGGCAGGAGCGGCGCGGGCGGCAAGCGGGCGGGCGGCGCGAGTGGAGCCCGGGCGGGTGGGCAGTGCGGGCAGCAGGCGGGCGGGCGGTGCGAGCGGCGGGCGGTGGGGGGGTCTCTTTTGGCCGGCCCCGATTTTTTTTTCAGAGGGGAATATCATGCCTGAAGTATCTAGGTGACGTTTCGATGAAGTCTCATTCATCATCTTCAGGCTTGTGTCTTCAGCTTTGTGCTGCCTGTCTTCACCCCATTACATCAATCTGTCCCACCCAGTAAGGCAGGTATGTTGAGTTTCCTGTCAGTTAAAGAATTTGGACTGGCGGGGTCCAGAAAGAGAGCCTTCTCTGCTATTGCCCCCACCCTCTGGAACACTCTGCCCCCACCCACCCTGTGTGGTGGGCCCCCATTCTTCTGGCCTTCCAGAAAGGTGTAAAAACATGTCTTTGCAGCCTTGCTTGGTTCTCACATAGGAATATGCAATGGGATTGGTTAGCAGCCTGAAAGTCATCTTCACACACACACACACCTTTTTTTTGAACAAACTTTATTAATTTTACAATTAAAATAACACATACACAAATGTAGAAAAGAAGAAAAGAAACAGTTGAGAAGTAAGAGAGGGAAGAGAGAAAAAGAAAAAAGTAAGAGTAGAAGAAAAATC